ATAAGTGAATTCATTACGGGACCAAGAACTAATTTTCTCATTTAGAAAGCTAATTCTAACTTTTGATTTAGTATTTTAAAATCAAGACTAGAAGCAATTACTTGCAGTACTACTTCCCTTATTGTCTCTCCCTACTCTGTATATTCAACCATTTGCCACTACTCATTTTCCGCTTATATCTATGCGAAACAGACAAGCATAGAAGCTATCTATCACACTAATTACCAAAGATTATTTATTACTACAGATAGATGATCATCTAGTGCCATCGTAATTAATGATAGACATTAATGAAAGTGACGTTAATGATTCATAGTATTTGAAAATCAGTGTTCTGAATGAAGAGGAATTAATTAGGCGGAAAAAAATCACCCTGACTTCAACAGCAAGCAGTGTCCCATGCATATTTTCACTTTCTTGCCATAGCGACCTTATGTTTTCGGTTGGTAGTCTAAATGTTGCAAAGATTATTTTTGCTGCAATAGATAATAAATTGCTGTTCATAAACCACATTTATTGTAATTATCATTGCCAAAACAAATCTCTTAGTAATAATAATATATTGTAGTTGACAATATCATTATAATCTTATTACTATCATAGTTGTTCAACTCATTTGTACTTAAATGCTATTTATTGTTTTCGTTACCATTTGGTGGTTTCTGCTTGCATAAAAATTTGTTAGTAGTGATAATGATCGTACGATGCTTATCAATTTGTCCTTTACACCTTTGATTAATTAAGTTCAGTAGAACTATGGGATATAATTCTTTACACCATTAATATCAGTTCAGTAATTAAGTAGAGATAAGACAGCTAAGGTGAATGAAAGGTTAAATATTAATCATTTTTAAGCAGTTTAATTAGTAAAGCATTTCATTTATAAATAATATATCCAGTAGTTGCTATGCGCTTTAAAGGCACAGAAGCAGCTGGGAAAACGCATGAGATATCAGCCAAGATTATCATAGTGAGAAGAACTAACAGTGTTTTATGCATGCGCGAGTTTATTAATCAGTCGTCTGATCTAGGTATGGAAACCAGTGAAAGTGTACAAGAATTCAAATCACGAAGCAGACAACTAGAAGCATTTTATCGGTTTGAACTAATTTGCAGACATCAATATTGATGTAAATGTAGTAGTTTATCTAGATAGAAAATGACGTGAAATTCATACTGGAAAATGCATAAATTGGCATTGTCAGCCAAAAAGAAGCAGTAAATTTTTCACTGACATTTTATCGGTGCACACATCTATTCATAAATAAGCATCTCGGGAAGGAGTTAAGAATTCACATAAGTGTAATAACTTGAAAGATGAATTGAGGATAATACAATCTCCACGTGAAACTACGCTACTTTACATAAATTATTCTTGTATTCTCTTTACCTGAGAGCAGTAAATGCACAGTAGTATGACTGCTAGTTAGTTAGTTATGCCAATCATAACTAAAGTGGGAAGGCAGTTGCTGAGATGAGACAAGGTGAAATAAGCTTTTGCTCGTTTTGAGCTGACGTATGGCGTGAAAAAGACCGTTTGTATAATAATGATTGATGGAAGGCGTCGCAGATCAGATCAGGATGAGAGGTGGGGGAAGGAAAAGTGTTTATACTCACTCGATGATGGTATAGTTGTATCCTCGATGCTTGGTGCTTAGAGAGCTGAAATTAAGGTGGATGAAGGAATGCGCACGTGTGCACTTAAATGGATTAGAGGGCTTGTTTATCGTAAACTTTCTGAAGGAAGAAGGACAAGTTTTCTAGCTACTATATTAATTCTGGCGGTCATTTGCCAAGTTTTTTTCTTCTTTCTCCAAAATCTCACTTTAGTAGAGGTAAGCTGTGCACGATGAACAAATAAAGATACCAAGATAAAAATAGACTTAAGCTTGCTAAGCACTTATTTCTGTTCTTCCACAAGGATTATAATAAATGTGCAGGTAGTAATAAAGTAGAAGCATAAGTATTTATAGTAGTGGTAGTAGTATTGATAGTAGTAGTAATAGCGAAAGTTAGAGTAGTAGCAATAACAATGACAAGAATTACAATAATTATTGGACCAAGTAGTAGTAGTTTAAGAAATGTCAGTCATAGATGAATAATTATAATCATCCACGGGGAGGTAAAGTAAGAGAGTAAGGCATACGGAGGTCAATTGGTTATGATATAGTCGAGCAGTTGTACGTTAAATATCATATCCAATGGTTATTTTTGCTAGCTCTGCACAAAATGTCCACTACTGCCATCACCTATCTATCCATCTACCTGTCGTCTGTTTACCTCATTTCATTTGCTTATCTTAATGCGCTATCACTGTTTCAGGTGTGCCAAATTACTATCAAATTGCTAGCTAACAGAGAAATCCTGCAGCAAATTATCAATACATAATTATTTTCAAACAAGATAAATATTTAATATGAGCAAAACTTTGCCACTCTGTAATGGAAATATAATATATAAGAAGTCTGTAATCGAAAATTTCCAAATTTATTCAATTTGCTGTTGTATATTTTTTATACTTATATGTTTTTGGCCATAAAAATATTTATCTCATTTCTATGCTTTTTTATGAAAAGCGGTATTTTGTCTAAATTAAAAAACAGAAAAGATGGTCTCAATAATTCAATGAAAACATAGTTTTAGTAGGATGCAACGAGCTGTAAGCATCAAATATTAACAGTTTTTTAGACAAAAAAAAGTGAAGCTGCTATTGATAATAAGAAAACGAGTTATGATGTGAATAGTTTTTACAAAGGAGTCTAAATAATAATGCTTCTCAATGTTTAAAGCAGTTTCAATATAATACCCTTTGGAGTTTTGCTTTTACAAAAAAAAGCATCCATTTCTTGTCTATAAACAATAGAATTTCACTTCACGTCTGCATGAAACAGCACAAGAATATATATATATATATATATATAATTTGTTGTATGCATCAATATTTTCAAGTATTAAAAAAATTTTTAAATTCTATTATTGTAAACGAACATTTATGGAAGCAGATGTCATTTTTTATTACTTTTTCTGCATTCATTTCCTTCTTTGTCTTCTTTGTTGAAATATGAGATGAATTGTAGGTTTTATCTTGATGAAAAGGATGAAATGAAGTAGTTTAATCAAACCAGTTAGTGAGCTATTGTTGATGTTTAGTGTATGCTTATAGGTTTTTGCAATTTTCTATCCATTTTTTGCAATTGTAAAGAGAAAGAGTAAGTATTTTCTAAAGGGTTATGGTTGTATGAGAAGTTGTCGATGATGGCGCTTGCCCCATTTCCCAGGCATTGTCCGACTTCCGGACTAGCAATTGTTTCGGTTGTGGTGCATCACCTCAGCAGCCATCCGTCATCTTCAATGCTGCAACTGTCATTTTGACTGTCTCCTCCATTCTGCTAAGCTTATCATTCAATCTGCTTTTGTTTAAGCCTCACTTAAAATTACAACTACTTAGACCTCGTTTTCATCTTGCGAACCTCTTTTTGCTTTTTTAGTTATTTGTTTATTTTTGTTTTATTCTGCGTCATGAATTAATTAATTGGTTAACATAGATTGGTTTTTGTAGTGTTTCATGTAGACATGATGTGAGATTGTTTTGTTTTCAGATATGGAATGCATGCTTTTTCTATAGAAAGAAAATTCAAATGTTAATATTGTTACTACTTGAATTTCTTAAGAACTGATTATTATTGTTTAGACTACTTTGTTATCTGTTTAAGCAGTGAATCATAATTTTTGGATAAGTGTCTCTAACCAAATAGTCAATGGATTATTCTTTTACTCAATGAATTGATCATATTTCTATGATTAATTATTCATCTATTCAACTAGTTACTGCTGTATTTGGGTGTTAAGTTACTGTTACTGTTAACTGTGAATTGTGTAGACAGTTTATTTCAAAAGTACTTCTAAAATATGTTTCATATCTTTGCTTTGTTGGTAGATAATAAAATGCATTTTAAAGATTAAATACATTTTGAAAATAAGAAGGTACTTATGAAACTTCAGTAGTTTAAAGAATCTTTCATCAGGCATTTTATTTAATTCTCTCAGCAACTTTTAAGCCCAAATGATGAAAAATTCTATAATTTATGATTTGTATTATTTAAAGTGTAATTGTAATGTCTGTAAACGACTCATTTTTTTTCTTTTCTCTTGAAACGCCTTTTTAAAAGAGGATAATGACAGATAATTAGCTGCAAAAAAAAAATGAAATTTCGTGACACTGTTGGAAATATCATTATGTGAATAGAACTTAATAATATATCGTTTAGCTCTTCTACTTTTGCAAACTAAATTTTCTTATATTCATTAGTTTTCTTCTTACTATCATTCCAAAATAAGAAAATCAGTTTTAACTGCTGAATCTAAATGAAGTTGACAATTCGTGAAACAATACAGTCCTCCTTGAAGTTAAAGTTAAGTCAGCTAGTGCTGAAAAACTGCTCTTCAGTTCCAATTTGATATACGAGATATTTTTCAGTTGCAAGAACAAACACTGTTTATCAAGTCTTAAGCAAAAAAACTTATGAGAACAGTAGTGAAACCAATTCGTATATGTTCTATATTTTGGTTTGAGGAATTCTAAAATGGTGTATGACTTTTCGAACAAATAAAATATTTGCAAATTTTGTGAGATTATTTAGTTAATTTGATAACTGGTACAGTATTACTACAAATCATTATTACTAATAATTAACTGGCAATAACTCATTTTTCGCTTGAAAAAAAGTAAAATCATAAATTTTTATAAAATATGTTTTGGTTCACATTTTTTGCTCTGAAATTTGATAAATTTGTTTTAAAGTTAAACTTTGTTAGTTCAAGTTGGTAAACAACTTTTTATTTTTTGATGCATTTTTTGCAACAGGAATAAATATTCATTAACAAAACATTGATTTGCAAATTTATCAAAGATTCGGGAAATTAAAGACAAAGGTAGCTTATATGAAATCTAACAATTTTAAAAACCATTTCGAATCTAGGTATTATATGAATATACAAAATTATGTTGGACAAGGTTTCAAGTGTGTATCCATTGGGTCCAGCTCATCTGCTGTCACTCTCTATAAATATTTATTTTGAATATTTTTTCAAAAGTAAATTCGCTGCAAAACAAGCAATTTAAAGTTCTTTTAAGTTTTTAGAATAAATTCAAAAGTAATGTTATAAGCTTTTAATGCTAATTTCTTCACAGAAAAAATCATTCTTGATACTTAAGAAATGATTCCATGTGAGTACTAAAGTTGTTTAGGAAATCTTACATGCCGCAGAAAATATAGAAGCTCTCTGCTTGGTTCTTCAAAGAATGTTCCAGGATTTCGCACAAGCACGGCTGCTGAACGGCACGGCCCTAAAAAGCAAGCTATTTCTATCAACATTTGGAGTGGTAGCTCTTGTTGATAATTCCAAAGATTATAGTGATTATTTCGATCATTTTAAAATATTTTAAATTACAGTGAATAATTTTAAGAACATTTTTCTAAAATGCACAAAAATGAATTAATGAAAATGACGAATATATTCGCAAAACAATACACCAAACAAAGTTAATGTTTGATTGAATTCTTTGTATAAAGTTGAAGTAATTCTTAATATTTTCTTATTTTATGTGACACATATTAAACAATAAATAACGGTTTACCATCAGCGTTAACAACTACCATATATTCATAGTCATTCATTTCCTGTTCACCTGTTTTCAAAACACAAACTGAAAAAACATTCATTTTTATAATTCAAAAATTCATACATGTAAGGTATAGATATCATACTTTTCCCATAATCTTGCTCTATTTTTATATTAGATGGAAAAATTCTAGTTTTATAGTAATATTATCAAGAAAAAATTACTAGGAATACGATGGATTTGACCACTAAAATCATTAAGTAACATCTGTACAACTCTGTCATCACCTGCTACAATTTTACCAGTTAACTGAAATACAGTATACAATTAATAAATTTTGTTAATCAGTAATAATAGTACTTTTCAGTGCTTTGCAATTATGATTAAGCTATTATTATAAATGTTTTGTTTATCTAGTGAAAAAGTACAAATTAAAATAATGGATTAATCATCAATCAAATGAAAAATGCAAATTAGCAAACTTGATAGTGCTCTTCTGAATGCACTACTTTGAATGTCCATAGGAAATTAACTTTTTGCATGCGATCCATTTCTTCTGCGGGCAAGACTGAAAATTGAATATAATTACTTAGATATACATTGTGAATAATTTTAAATGCGTAAAGCAGATAATGTCATCTACGAAAATACTTCATTACAGTAGTGACGCTATGATATGCTGCTACTTTTTAACGTTTCAATTCATAATTGCAACTGATAAAATTCACTGCATAAAAAGTTATAAATTGACAAACTGGTGCTAACATTCAATACTTGAACATTCTAACTGCACGAAATCAGTGGTATCAGTAAACAGCTTGGCAATACCATACTGAAACGCTTGTTGCAATGAAACAGATGACAATGGCTGAGCCCAATGACCTCTGAGTTTCTTTAAATCCATTTCAATACAGTCACACCTGCCTGACAATGATGATTCTTTCAGATAAGACGAATTAAAACTGAAATTGAAAATTATAGTTATAATTGCAAAAAAAGATTCAGTGCAACTTTGCAAGTAATCTTTATTGTTGAGTCTATAAAATTTACTCAAGTTCATTATAAAATTTTTGAAAAATATTTTATTTATCAAAGTTGTTGAAAATCTCAATTAAAATTGGAAATACTACCGTCTGTAAAAGTACGATTTAGAGGTGATATGATCGATGAATAATGATTAGTTTGTAAAATATTCGAATGAAGATTCGGTGTAAGTGTTGATGCATCAGAAATATCGTAAATAGGATTGGAATTATACTGAAATAAATGCAGTATTTATTTATTAACTTTCTTCTGCAATTACAAATTACTTTTCTATTTCTTTAAATCGACTTTTAAATTAACCTTTGACAAATCTCTTTCTGTTTGAGCAGAAATTTCTGGTGATGCAGGTGATTTCCATGCAAATTCTTCTTCAGGATCATTCGCAAAATAATGGGCTTCATAATCTGGAGACTCATCCGGTTCATTTGCATAATCATAGTAATTTGAAGGTTCTGAGTACTGGTTGCCAAAAGTGTAATGTAAATGGTGTTTGTGATGAGAATTTAACTTTACACGAGGTGATCTCTAAAATTCCAAAAATTTCTAATTTGGAATACTTTCTTTTATCATTTGCAAATTTTTCCTTTAAATTCCATATAGCCAAAACATTTGAGAATATATATCTGTGATGTTTTTAGTGTTAATTAATTGTGGTTGTAAATGAATTAAACATTTAAAAAATTGAAACAGATGTGGATATTGTTCTATTTTTCCATTCATCTGAAGAAATTGTCATTGCTTGGAAATTATAAAAATTAACAAATAATCAAATTTCTTGAATACGACCAACTTCATCAAAATTATTTAGTGCTAATGTTGATGAGGGGTTTACATCAAATGCGTGGTGCCACATATTGAATTGTTCTTGTAATTGGTTTTCAACTTTCAACTTTTCCTCCCGTAATTGCGCTTCCTTAAAATGATCTCATATTATGCAAGTTCTTGATCAAAAATATGAGATTAAAAATAAATAATTTAAGAATGGTGCGCACCTGCATTTTCAATTGTTTTTCTCGGAATTTTTGTTCTTCAATTTGAATTTTATGTTCAGCCAATTGCGCCTTAATATTGAATTGAATTGACAAGAAAACAAATAAAAGATAGGAATGTGCAATAAAAGCATAAAAATGAAATGAAAATATTTTATTAAAAGTAATCAACGAAGATCTAAAATAACGTACCTGAATGTCACGTAACCGTTGTCGTTTGTTCAAGAGTTCACGTGTCTGCTTATTCTGTTCATGCAGTATCAAATATTGTTGCAAAGCTTTCACTTCCTTCAAATTACATCGTCAACCGAATCTTATGATTAATTTAAAATTATTATAAATTTTCTAAGTTCGAAGTAAATTATATGAACCTTTGATATGTCAAAGGACTAAAAACGACAAAACCTCCGGAAGAAGTGTTCTTGGCTCGTGAAATTTAAGAGAATCCAATATATTTTCAACATTTGTTTCCTCCGATTTAAATGCAGAATCAATGCCTATATCAAAATTCAGTACATAGAAGTCAATCCAAATTGTTGTGTTCAGAACACTTATCATTTTTTAAAACTTACCAGTTTTGTTAATAAAAAGTACTATTATTTTTCAGTTGTAAAACAAATCAAATTAGTTTATATGAAATTTTTCATTATTACCGGAAATATCAACTGGTGGTAAATCTTTTTGAAATTGTGTAGTTGGCTTATTGTTTTCAATATTCTTAACAGAAGTTTCAGATTCTTCTTTCAAGGAATTAGTTCCAAAAAACTGACTCAAAGTTTTCAGAATCATATCAGCACCCTAAAAATATTCAATACATCACACAAATTATAATTAATATTTACATTCTCTTTATTATTTTTGAAATTTGTTTTTTCAAAGAAAATAAAGTAAACAAATTTATATTTGATCATTGTCAGCTTCATATTTCTCAATTAATTTAAAATTAGTGGCTTTTTAAAAACTAACAGTCAACACTGAAAGTTTATTATAAAATAAAATTACAATTAAGGCGTTTGATGCAGGTGACTCATTTGTTGCAAAGGTTGTAGTTTGTATAGCTGGTCTCAATAATTTAAACTGCTCGGTGTTATTATATTTTCCGAAATTATTATGTTGATTATACGTTCTTTCTTCGACGTACATTCTTTCCGGTTCATTTGGATCTCTGTTGATATCGTAGATCTGAAATACATGTCAATATTATTGATATGATCAATTAATAATTTTGATCAAGCGCAAAAAATCAAATTCTATTTATTATCAGTAAATGCCAAAATTAAATATTCAAAATATCCTGTGCAATTTTAATTCACATATATTTCCTGCTGACATAAACAAATTTAATAACGTTTATTCACTAAAATAAATTTGTACTTCAGAGATTACTTCTGATTAACTGGATGATATAGCTTACTAAGCTTTTGAATCTATCCAAATCTGTGATATTGTGTAAATTTAATTATTTGTAAATTTTTGTTGCTTTAATTTTCATAATTATTAGCCATTTAATTGCGGTGGCTTATTTTTCAAATATGCAACTTTTTAAGCAAAGATAAAACGAACAAAAGAACTAAGATAAAACTAATTTGATTTTATCTTATAACTAATTTGTGATAAATATACCTTTCTTATTCGATTTTCGTCTTTTACTGGACGTCCATCAATGAAAAGTTGTTCCTTTTGTTCGTCTGTACTGATATCAGAACCAAAAAAGAGCTGACTTAAAAAAAATCATTACAAATAAATAATCAAAATATTTGATTACATATAAATAATTAAGTTTCACTTCTAAAAGAAGTAATGATGAAAAAACCTATAAGAAACTGCAAATTAATAGAAATTTAGCAAAGTATCACTAATTTTGTGACTTTTTGTTTTTTCCAAAATTATAATCGCAGTTTGTCATGAAAATAAAAAAATACCAATCTTATTTAAAAAATATATTATAATAATGCGGAATTGTACCTTGTCTTACTTCGACCTCTGTTTTCTCCATTATTGAAATCTGTTAACATATTTTTATTTTAATCAAGTATGTAACAATATTTAAATTTTTGAAATGACATTCAGTTGGCTAAGATATGTAATTTTGATTAAGATTTGTTATTTGTTTAACGTTAATTTAAAAATGTCTACGATATTTATTTATGTAAGTTAAGTCAGATAAAATAGAAAGAGATGTAGCCTACTACTACTGTATTTGGATTTCAGTGACTCGCTATCGAGATTTTGCGAAGCTTGAGCAGATATCTGAAATATCAAAAATTTAACATGCTCCAGAAGTAAAGAGTTTGAAATATACATCTGAAATTACATATGTTGAATAATATTTTTCTGCATATCAATAATTAAAACAAACTTGATCAGGATTAATAATATGACTGATCAGACCATTTCCCAGTACTGACGAAATCATGTTCCTGAAATTTAGCTGTATAATAATAAAATATATGGCGGTTTCTGAACAATACTGGGAAAAGTAAAAAAATATAAGATAAGAGCAATAATAAAAAATGATATTTTAGTGAATATATTCAGATAACTTTCTGCTTATTCAGACAATTCAGATAAATTAACAGATAACTTTCTGTTAATGAAGATAACTTTCTTCTGAATTCATGAAAATTTTTCTACCATAAAACAACACACCGGATAGTATCTGGATTGTTCTCAAATTGATCTTTTATAAATTTTGAGATTTGAGGAATGCTGGATAAGAATTGCTGAGTTAATGCTGGATTTGATAAATTCAACTGGTCCTGACTCTGCGTTCTAGACAGCATTACTGCCAAAATTGTAAGAAGGACTTTTATCATCGTTATTGCACGAATTAAATTTACCACAGAATATTGATACCAAACTTCATTTTTTTCATTTACTAGACGATATACACTGACGAGCACAATACACACTATAAATCATATCACTTATTATACAAGCAATGAAAATATTAAACTTTCACTGTTCTAAAATCCATACATGCACTGAAGAAACTTACCATATGCGAAATAATCAAAAGTATAATTAGAAATCAAAATTGCTGATTGTATGATAATAATGATGAATGAAATGAACAGTACAGAAATATGGAAGTCTATCGACGACCCTAATATGAAATATATCTCATATCATTACCAGAATATCCTCATTTGTACGTTTGCCCCAATTATTTGCAACTTCAGTGTTCATGACTACAAAATTTCCATTTCACTTACAAATTAATAAAATTGAAGATATGTTCCTTACTAGAAATATGAAGTCAAAAAAAAGAAAGCATTGCCTTAGATTGCATTATCAAGCATGAATCTGAGGAAATTTTGTAACGTTTCACTTACAGATGTAAGCATGGATTATGCAGATTGTATTTATTGAATATTATAACTTTCAGATAAACTAATATTTCATATTTGAGCTACAATTTTATAAATGGAATAAATAAACGAACTATCATCTACTTACTTATATATGCAAAATTTTTGGAACTTGAAACTTTAGATACAGCGATGCTTTGGTATGTAAAATATGAGTTAATTAGAATACTGCTTCATATGAATGCCAAACACGATATGCATAGTACCATTTTTTGTGAAATTCTATCTGCGAATGTTCTTGTCAGTATAATTATGAATCTCGATGCATTCCATGACGTAAAAATACAATGTTTATCAAAGATATGCATAGTACCAAATATACAAACAAATTATTAAACCATTCTTGATGTGATCAATTTGAATTGAATTGAAAACAATTAAAAATATGAATCATAAAATTAGCAAATATCATGCTTTTTTAATGTTCTAATTTAATTAACAGTTAAAACTAATCAAATTTTTACGCCAACTCTTGATAATAGATTTGGGTTCTTATTAAGCACATCTGAATTCAAACACTTTTTAAAAGATTTCAGACTGAGTCGAATTCAAATATTCAGTGAATGATGACTTTTTTAATGAAGTTTAGAATAAATCAAATTTATTAAGCAGGCAAATTCAATTTGAATTAAATGGCGAAATTGCAAGCAGATTATTACCAAGTTAAGCATATCATCACTTCAATTATTTAATGTGAAACAATAAAGAAGAATTACGAGAAGCAGTTATACTTTTACTTAAAAAATTAAACTCTTATAAAATTCATAATTGTTAACGAAAAAAAATAACATTATATCGCTGAGAGAATATACAAAATGCGATTCAAGTACGTAAATTCAATCACACCACGAACTCAAGCAAACATTAAACTAAATGACACCTGAATAAGTAGAAATGCTTTTTTTTTTTTTAAATAATATGAAATACAAATGAATATGTGACTCACTAATTGAACAATTTTTATTCACCACGAACTATCAATTCACGGTAAGCAAATAGTTTACTGTTTTGAAAAATTTAGAATTAAAAGAAAACGAAAAAAGTTAAATTTGATCAAGAATTGTGGTAAACAAAATCAATTTTTATTTTACAAAAAGTATTTAGAGGCAATTATGTTTACTCTGAACAAAATTGTAATTATTATCAATATTTCAAAATTAACCAATACAAAAGAAATAAAATCAAAAAATTTGATGCATACATTCCGTTTACACCAATTTGAGCAGAACCGTAAAAAAACAAACAGACATAAGCTCTAAATACAAATACTATACGTTCGATGATTCAAGTGAATCCAGAATACTTTCTGTAATCTGAAATTTATATATAACAAGTAATAAATGGTTATTTATGAGAGTACTTTTAGTACTTAGGATTATATCTGGGCATACAAAAGACAAAAATTTTTCGTTACATTACAAGCAATTAAAATGATCCGCAAAATTCATTTCAATATGAGTATAAGTTTCAAAACATTTTTCTCATTCATATCATAATTCTGAAAATAAGATCGTAATCAAAGAATGAAACTGCCGAAAATCATAACAATACTAATAAATCTAAAAGAAACTTTGCACATAGAATGAACAAATATTTGTCTACTGTGCAAACATCAGTTTAATTTGGCATTCATATAACTACAGAAAAAATTGATTAACCTGTCGTTTGAAGGTAGATGTGATATCCACTGGTGGACAAACTGGTTCATCTGGTTCGACATATACCTCATTTTTTCCTTTTTTACGAGTTAAAAGAAAACCTTTCTTGAGTAGCTGAAAGTACAGTTAATCATCTAGAGATTGAGAGCAAAAATATTTTTCTTATGAAAATAACAAATTATAAGCCAAAAATATCAGTGTTCACTAAAAATATCAAGCAGTTTTAGCACTATAAATGAAAAATATTTAAAACTTTGTAAATTTAGACAGAAAAATTGAAGGAATTAAAAAAATTGTGAATTCAGACGAATTTTAGTTCATGAACAATATATAAAGATATTTCATTTCAATCTTAATTAATAATTTCTGAAAATGAAAAATTAAACTGATTATAGTAATTAGAAATGAAATTATTAGTGACTAACTCGAATTTTTAACGTAGGAGACATTTGTACAACGAGTGGTTGCGCAAGAATAGCTCGCTTGTGACTGATGACCTCTTGACCTAGCAACTGATTGAAATGAGTGGCCAGATGACGACGAAGAAGAGTTTTATAGGTGGGCATTTGTAAAACTTCTGCGAGAGTTTCAGCAGTAAACGTTGGCTCATGAACCTAAAAACTATTGCGGTTGTACAATTTTAAATATCTACTAATTTCACTAAAAATTACAAACATTTCTGATAAAATTACATCATAATGAATCTAATTAGCATACTAGATAACACAATCACAATGCAAAAATGAAGAAATAAATTGTAAATAATAATAATTATTTTAATGACATAATCAATAGAAAAAAAAATTTACCATAAGGGCACCATGAATTCCAGCGCACAACAGATTTGGAGTAAATTCATCTAAATCAATTGCTTTCAACCACTGACAAGTACAGTAGTGGGACCAACGTTCCACATCACCTGGACACCCTCCTTTATCAATCAGTTTCTGAAATCTCAAGCTATTCACAATTATTGGTTTAAATTAAATTTTAATAGCAAATTTTTGCAATAAGTAGTACCTTTTAAAGCAATCAAAACATTAAGTCCAAATTTTTTTGCGTGTAATGTAAGCACAAAATTATTAAGTTTGCAAAGGAAGTGAATAATTACTAACCGGATTAAATCTTTTTTCCAAACGATTTGGACAAAATTCTACTGATCGTAGAAATTGTATACCACGAGCAATTGCTGCATGATGAAGTGCAGACGTGATTTTCATCTAAAAATTTTAATAGCAAATAAAAATTCTACTGAATTTAAATTTCATTTTTAGGATGAATTTTTTCATCTAACTTAATCAAACCTCTATCAAATCTTGAGCAGTAAGCAATGTTAGCATTTGGCCATCAATCATATTCTGAGCCATAATTTCACGATATTGTGGTATGCCAATATCGTCCAACCATAACAAAACCTTAAAATGAATGAAAATTGTTCTTTACAGTTTTAAGATCCATCCACCTTATCGATGAAATAAGATTCAAACTTCATAATAATGCAATGGAATTCTTTTACTGTAAATAACAACTATATTTCATTGAAAGGAATTTTTATGGTGTTTTTCAACCTGATGTAAGTCCATACGGTCAGCAGCATCCTTAACACCCCGACTTATACGGGTTAAAATGCAACGCAATCGCTTTCTATGCAGTGGATTCCTTATCGATAACTCCTGAAAACTCAATTGCTTCATAAAATACTTACACAACACTGAAAATTTATACATTGAATTATATTGCATTAATTGTAGAAGAAAAAGTACTTCTTAATAAGCGTAATTTTTACAATAGTTTGATAAATTCAATATGCTCAACCTTTTCAAATTCTTGATTAGTCATATTCAATAGATGTCGTCCACTGCGTACAAAACGTTCAACTTCTGGAACATAAGCACCAAAGCCTATTTCTGTCATCCATTCACAAATTTGTGCTTTACTCCAATCAACAAATTGTTGTAAAGGTGGCCGAAGAATGATAGTATCATGAATAGGACCGTAAGCTGGTATTCTAGCTGAGTGTGTTGGTCTGAAAAAAATGATTTTAATTAAAAGTTTGTTTAATTTTTCAAATTTTCAATGATTTTAGATTACAATTGAAAATTTTAATGACTAAATGAACGAATTTTTCAAATAATAAAAAATAATTTGTTGCCATTTATTACTGCGGTTTATCGCTCTTACTGCATAATTATTTTGATATAAATTGAATAATATCTAATTTCCTAGTTGATGAATTCCGATAAGTTTCATCAATGTGCAAATGGTCTAACATTAATTACAGCAATTATGCTAAATTTTTACTTCTTTTTATCACAATTTTCATCATCCTACAACATTATCACATATCATAAAATATATATGTAGAAATGATTGCAATTTTATTAACAATTTTTAATAATATTAAATTTTCTTAAATAATTTAATGAGAGTAAAAAAATACAAACCTTACAGAGGCAGTACTTTGAAAATCAACAGATCTGATTTCTTGTGAAGCACTTCGTGTTAGTTTACCAAATAAATTTTTTAGAGAAGATCTGCAGTTAATTTATACACAAAAATATCATTTTTATGATTAATTTTGATAGGATTTTATTATCAATTATTTTTCTATATATATAATGTTTATTAGTTCTTTTACCAATATTATACAATAAACATGTTTTTTGAAAAAATGTTGAATTAAATTTTGTAACTTCTTTTGATTTTTGCAAATAATTATACCTTGTTTTTCCACGCTTAAATTTACCAATTTCGATAGAGGATCGAGTTTGCACTCCACGCATGACTTCATCATCACTTTCAGCTATTAAAAAATTAATTAAGATATTATCAACAAATGTAAATTAGAATGAAGATGAATCATACATTAAACGTCTACATTATTTTTTTAAATTTCTCAATTTTATAGATGTTAATTAATAAAAGATTTAATAGCTAGGCAAATTGATGCGTACAAATAAATGAAAAAAAATTACCTGATATCCCTCCTGAAGATGCAGCAAAAAGCTTTTTACGTGGTAATGTTAATGTTGAAGCAGCCTACAAGCAGAGAAATGTAAGACTCTAATTAAAAAACCATTGAAAACAAATGCAACAAATTTCTACAAATTTCATACTTCTAATTTTTTTAAACATAATTAAAGTAAATCTTACCTTACGTCCGAAAGATTTAGAAAAGCGTGGATTCTGAAATTTGTCATGTTTTTGCTGCATTTCGTTACCAATTCGTCGCAATTCATCCAGTTCAGCAGCAAGTTGCCGAGCAGCTGGAGAAGAAGATGACTGATAGCTGTAATAGTTCAAAATTTGTAAAACAAACAAAGTTTATATCTTCAAAAAAAGTAAAGGGTACCTAGGAGAAGGACGAATAGCTAATCTAGATGATACAGGTGGTAAGCTTGCTATAGGATCATAATTAGTTTTATGTCTTGGAGTGCCTGAATTAGACCAACTATGTTGCGGTGATGCTGTTGATAAGGATGAAGTATATGATGATGATGACTGCAATGCAAGATATGCTAAAATTCGAAATTCAGAGTTTTACTTTTATTAAAATTAGCTCAATATTTTGATTTTTATTGCCTTTATGATAAAAGCAAAATGTCAAAAATGACATTTACTTATTTACTCAAATATCCATTATCAAATGTATGTTTCTGCTTGTTAGGAAAAGATTAATTTCAGTACTGACTGCTAAATTCACAAAACCTGTACTGCCGAAGTAGTACGTGAAGAAAGTGCTCCACGTTGCTGAGCACTACAGAGACTAGTTGGAAAAGATGAAGAATGCGCAATGTGATCACTTGTATTATCCTAGGTAGTTAGATAATTTTTTTTTAAATATGTACTAGAAATAAAGCTTATTTAATTTAGATATTGCATTGAAAATTATAAGTAATACTCAAAGAGTACTCATATGAAAGCGTAAAATAATAAAGTTAATAATAAATTGTAGTGAATTACGTATACCTTTTCCATTCCTTTAAAATAAAAATGAATCGTAAAAATATACATTTCTCTGTCAACTTACAAGCAGTAATCGTCTGAGTTGTGTATTGATATCGAATGATTGCTGTGAATCAAAATTATTTTGCAAGTAACAACGTGGCAAAGGTATTGCAGAAGCTGTACAATTGTCATTTCCAAGTCCATTACGGCAATGCTCATCCAAAGCATTTCTCAGCGAAATAATCTGAATATTCTGCAAAAACTTCCTACGCTATATAAAAACAAGTAAGATGTGATTATGAGTAGAAAAAGTTATACATTATTAAAAGAGTGTAAAATTATCTTCCAATGCTTGTTAGAAATGATTTAGAGATCTCAAGTGAACTTTTCTGCATCAATAAAATGATTATTTAACATAGCACAGATTAGAGCAATCATATTTGTGTAAAAATTTTAACGAATATTAATTATGCAGTAAATTTTAATTGAATTAAAGTTACTTTAAAAAAATCGATTATTTAAAAAACTAACTTTTTGCTCATTATCCATAATAAGACGCTGTACGGCCATTCGTAGTTGCACCATTTCGGCTGCTGCTTGAAAAATAAATTAAATTCATTTAAATTAAACACTTCAGTCAGCCTCTTCTTTGGATGACTTTTATTCTTCAAATTTCTAACATATGATTTTTCTATTAAATGAAATTAATTAATTATTTTATAAACAAATAAATTTTAATTGTTAAAATACATTGCTTAAAATTGAATTTAAAATATGCTGAAAATTTATGAGAAAACATTGAATTATATATATTTGATAAGTTCTAAATTTCATAAAAAATACAACTAAAAAGTTGCAGTATTTTTTGATATTGAGCAACAAATACAACAATTATTCAATAAATATTTTTCTCACTTTGATCATTTTCAACGTCAGCTGCACTATTAATAATTTGCTGATAGGGTATAGGAGTATGAATCTGAGTACTGAAAATCTGAGGATGAATGCCATGCTGTATGATAAAGCCTTGCATTGTTTGATTTAAATGTTCAATTTCAGCCTAAAAATACTTGCGATTTAAAAGATATTTAAAAAATTTAAAATATTAAAAATTTGAAAAATTAAAAAAAAAAAACTGATTTTAGTCAAAAATAGAAGATACTCAATTAATGGAAAAAGTGATGCTAAAAAAAAAAGAAGTAATATAATTTTGACAGCTCCATAATTAAAAAACATTGCTTCTTTCATCAGTGAAATGTAATTACTTCAGTTAAAACCACCATATTGTTTTCCAATGTTTATGTTAGACAAAAATAGTGTTTTTTGAGAAATTAAAATTCATAAATTAAAAAAATAAAAACTTGGCAAATTATTTGAATATGAATAAATAAATAATAAACCTGAGAAAGTTGTAACTTTCTTTCTGTCTCTTTTTTTTCTTTCTCTAAAGTAGCATATTTCAATTTCAAACTTGATACTTCTGCTAAAAGATCCATTTTCTTTGATTCTAAATCACCATTGATATCAATGCGCTGCAATGAAATAATACAAAATAATTTTAATCTTAACTCTTAAGAAGATCTCATTGAGAAATGAAATATATATGCCTTCAAGAAAAACCAAATAAATTATACTTAATAGCATGCTTCAGAAAGAAATTTTCAAGAGAATATAGCAAAAAATTTGTGTAATTCACCTATCCATCCAACCATTTATCAAAAGAAGAATTTGCAAAAAATATTAATATATGATGACATTGAAAACTGACTTCATGCAATAATTCCTCAGCTGAATCCAAATTATTTGCTTTGGTTGCTAAAAGATTTTCTAAATCTCGTATTTTTTCTTTTTGTGCACTAACCTGTTCCGTTAATATTGTCACCTTAAATTAGACTATTATGCAATAAATATAATTGTGTTAAATTCTAAACATTTTGAAAATGATTATAGTTACATGTACGGCTGTAAAGCTTATTAAACACAAAAAATTATTATATTTTAATTTAACAACTATATGAAGTACCCAAAGAAATTTGAATATACCAATCACTTTAAAAAATATTCTCAAAAAAAAAAAATGCCTAAAAAATCAGAGTTTGCATTCATCTCAAAATAATGATCACAAATATATCATACGACAAACTGTACATAAAAAATTTTGAAATAAATGCAAACATCAACAAAATATTTCCACTTACTCTTTTATTCATTAATATTAAGCTTTTAAGACTACTAAATTTAGCAGTCATTTGACAAATCAACTAAAAAGTAAAAATTTTTTATTAAAATAATTTTGGATTATTTTAATTTTATTCTTGCCAAAAATAGTAATTTTAGAATGCAACATACTTGTAATGACAAACTATCACGAGCCATTGCCAATCGATGCAACTTTTCTTGTAATTCCGGATATTCTGGGCAGGATACAGTTGACATTGATGGCGATGGACTCTATAAAACTTACGTAAATAAAACAATTTGCTCGTAGTTGAGGAGAAAAAATTACTGCACTTAAGATAAAATATTTGATAAAATTTGTTAAAGTTTTTATCCGGAAAACATTGGAACAAAAAATGTCATGGCTTCTTGATGATGACAAGCTAATCTGTTCACTTTTTAAAACTTGACATCCTCTTCCCAAATTGGTAGACAAGAGAGAAAAAATTTAAATAAGTGAACATCCCATATTTCCCTTGCCTCCAATGCCTTCTCATTATATCAACATTTATTGAAGCCTGCTAAAACAATTCTTAATTGATTTAGTAAATAGTATAATAACAATGATTATTACAATAAAAATTGACCTTGACTTTGTGTAAGACCCTATTATAATTATACTCTTTCATATCTTTTTTAATATCATATACTGACATTGTTGACTAAGCATTAAATATTTACTTGCAAAACTTAATATTAATAAAAACGAAGCATTTATCTGACTTACTGCTTGTTAAAAATCTGTAAATTAAATGTTATGACTATTTCATTTGCAAATTTAAAAAGTACTCAAAAAATGTTGAACTTATCGTAATAATACTCAACTGTATCATTAGCTAATTAATCAAATCGAATATTAAAATCATAATTACATGGCCATTATTGTCTCGTAAAATTTGCATAAAACCGAAAAATTACAATATTAAATTAGTCGCAAACTTTGAAGGAAAATTTAAAAAAATGAAAACAAAAACGAGAAGAACACATATTCAAGAATATGTCACAAATTAATGCATCTCCTTTCACCAAGTTATTTAATCAACATATCAGATTAGCACTGCAACGGTGTTCAATTACTTTTCCTCATTTTTCGTTATTTTATCCCCCAAAATGAGCCCATTCTTCGAGAAATGAGCAGACAGAATAGAAAATGGAATGAGATGGATGTTATAATGTTGGAAAGCATTTTGTGAAAACTTTACAATGTTTGATTCTTATTAATTTGTCACTGATAGGCTTGTCGTAATAAAATGTACATGAAAGATGAATAAATTTGTCAATGAACATTGTTAAATATATTATTTCAATTGTAATAAGAGTTGATAGTATCATTTGAATTCATTAATTTTGTTGAAGACATGTATCAAAATAGATAAATCAAAAATTTAATTCAAATAAAGATATTAAAAATAATGCAAGAAGAAGAAGAAGTTATTATAACGTTAATGTGCAATAAGCATGATTACTTTCATGAAATTAAAAATTAGATTGCTGTATGAATTAATATTTTAATCATGATATATTTCAATTTTAAATGAAATTATTTTTACATATTTTTTGTATTAATAATTATCAGTGCACTACTATTGTGAAGTTTGGATTTGTTATCGCATACATCTATTTAAATTTTTCGTATTTAAATTACTTTATGCAACAATATTTTCAATAATTAATCTCCAAATATTCACATCTTCAAGCCCACCACACCAGTAACATATTGATAGTATAAATAAGCAAAAATGTATGAATACTTTTTATGTGTGACGTAAAATAATGGATGACCAACAACTCATTATTACTATTAATATCCTTCCAACGAACAAACATTGAGATTTAGATATATTCAATATCAGGAAATGCTACAAAATAATTATTTTTATTAATAAATTTCTCTCAAGAAAATTGAAATTCATTGCCATAATCAAAAAGAAATTAAATTAAAAAATTTCAAAGACGAAAATGAAATAGATGCTTTTAGCACTGCGAAGTGATAATAACGACATTAACAATTTTCTAGCCTTGCAACGACTAAATTTATTCAATGCTTGACATGTTTAATGTAATATAATAATTAATTGATAATATTTATCAGCACTTAAAAATGATCGTAATCATTGTTATTATTCAATTAACACTTTATCAATTTGTTGCTACTGAAGATAACTTTGAATAAACTGCATAAATTTGATTCTTAAAATAAATACCTGTGTTTTTAAATAAAGAATTTTGCTATTCATTTGCAAATATTACAGTACGTTTTGATTAATAACAATAAAATATTAAGACTGTACTTGCATAGTCAAAAATTGTAAACCTGAATAGCACATTTCTAAAAGACTATTTATTAATGAAGAGAGGAAAAAAAACAAAAACCAGGATTCAGAGTAATGAAAAAGGATTTCCAGAATGAAATAATGTGAGGCATTGAACAAACTAGTTAACTGCTCCTCTCCCTTACATTTTACTGGTATCATTTTCTGAAAGGAAGCATAAAACTATCCTTCTAAAAATGTCAATACTTATTAGCACCCAGGCATTTTCTTATTTTATAGGGCTATTTAGTTAACAGGCAAAGAAAATTTACTTTTAATTGCACTTCTAAATTTTTATAATGAATTGAGCTGAAATTATATGCTTCGCTTCAAAATAACCAATAAAACAATTTTTGATAGCTGCAATCTTTAAAAATAACAAATTATTACTACTAATTTCTAGTTAAATCAGATGGTATCTAAAATTCCAAAATTTATTACACTGTTTTTTATTCTATTCCATGTACATTAAGTATTTTAGATAACAACTATTTTATTACCAATAAAACTTCATATTCCATAGAAATTTTTTTTTTTAAATCATCTAGTAAAAACAGAAAATACTAAACTTATATTATCAATAAGATTTCAATTCAAAACTGATTAAATAGTTAAATTATTGCAGTAATAATTGGCACTATCCTTCACAGTATCAAACATTACTAATTATTTATAAAGCAAATAATCAGACAAGCATAAATAAGTCTAAACTTGTACCAAAAAAACTGAGTGACTGAAAACATGCACTGACTAGTGTAATTAATGCTAAAACTTAGAAAAATAACTCAAGGAAATAAGCATTAAGTAATTAATATTGTTGAGTGTTTGGGATAATGACTCTTGCTGACATAACAGTAGGAAGATGGAAAACTAAACTTACTCGTGATGTCCAACTACCGGCACGTGGAGTACGACATAATTCCTGTAAATTGACACTGCCAGCACATGGACCGGCTGGTAGTCTCATGAGATGGCATCCAGTTGTAGAGCCGTATTTTGAATCGCTCAAACTACGATGAATCCGATGCTGCTGTTTGGTAGATCCACGAAATCCACGATAGGGTGGTGGTGGTGGAAGAAACGAACAACTTGAACCACTGCTGAGCGTACTGGAAAAACCCGAATCGCTGTAGTGCGTTACATATGGCAGCAAGGGACGTGATGTTGCCGTTGATGACGATGCTGTACTCCTTCAACATAGAATGTTGTAGGCTTTCGTTAACACTATCGCTTACTACTACATTTAGGTTTCAAAACTAACACAAGCAACATACTTCATGTGCATCTCAGCTTACGTACGTGAGCAAAATTGCGTGTAGTGTACACACATTCACACATACTTTCTGAGCTATAAATACTCACAACTGGTTTTAAAAGTATTTTACAAAAAGCTGATGCATTTTTATATAATATTCCTAATTAATACTCTAATGAGATAAGTTTATCTTCAGATCAGCTTTTTCAAATTAGTAATGCATTCGTTTGTTTTCTGTTACGATTTATGCATTAAAAATCAAAACAAAAGTTGTACTAAATAAGAGTGAAAATAAATTTATCATTGATACTATTTGAAAAATTTGTTCATCATTTTATAATCAAATACTAATTTAAGACAAAAAAAAAGCTAAGAATAATTGAAAATTTGTCACTTTATTTTTATACATATATTAATGAATACAAATAGGCAAATATCTTAATTATTAGATGAAGTGTAATAATAAAGAATGATGCGCAGATGACTGCTAGATAGTACACAAAATGAAAGTGATGTTAATTTATTATTGATAATGTGCATGTTTGTATCAGTGATAATGCCTTAACTAAAAATCGTTTATTATGCAGTGAACCGATGAAATTTAATAAATCCTTCTTAATGTGATAAAAAATGTAGTAGATTAATATAAAAAGTCATGTTAATTCGTATATTATTAATTAAGACACAATAAAATTAAAAACGAAAACAAAATGATACTTTCTTCAAACAGCACAGCTAATAACATAATTTACATGTATAAACAGGCAATTGTCAAGCTCTCATTGATGTCAATCAAAGCAGTAAATTGCTATCAGATAAATTATCTGTCCACCTGCTTTATCCTTCCTCATTTTGCATGCATTATACTTACTTAACCACTTAATTTTATCAATATTCAAATTATGCTTATTTAAATAAATAAAAAGCAAAACATTTTCCAACGTAATATGCATATTAATTAAGTAAATAAGAGTATTTAATTAGAAATTTGTACAGTAAGCATATTTTAAACTATGCATCACATATATGTGCAATACTGCTTTTAAGTTTCATAAAAGAGTTATTATTGCAAGGCCTTATTTAACTAGAAAGATGCAATCAAAAAGTATGCATGTATAATTTATTGTTATGTAATAAAAATGCAAATATAAAAAATGCAGAAAGAGTAATAAAATCTGTAAAATAGGTTTTTTGACATCTTAATAAGAACAAAAAGCTTATCTAAAACAAGCAATAGCAATAAGGAATGATACCAATGCAATGACGATGCAAATTTTTATTTTTTGTATTTAGAATCAAGCAAAAATTGCGCCGATTATTTTTTCAAACTATTGAAACGTTTAAATTTTATCTGATAAATATAGAAATATAAATTATGTATACTAATAAAAGATTCATTACAAAAATTATCAGAGAAATAATTCACTTTTATTTTGAAACTACGTTTTTATCAACTTCATACTATAAAAGTAAACACCTAATTATTTTTCTACTTTTTTATTCTTGTTATTTTTTTCGAAGCAATACTACAAAGTCTTTTTTTTTGTTACAACAAAAATGAAATCAAGTCTCAACTTTTTTTCCTAATTTAATTAGTCTTTCTTAATCTATAATAGCGTGAAAAGTTTTTGTTTTACATTCGAAAAAATTGATGCTCAATATTAAAATTTCCTGAGAATTATTTTGAAGCATAAAGCTACATGAAACAATTGGAATGATTCTAAATGAATAAACAAATTTATTTTTGGAGTAAATCAAAAGCTGAAAGATATAGAAAGCTACATACAAATCTAGACTTTAGCAAACTTCTCCAAATTTGAAAGCATGTAATACAAAAAAAATATAAAATATATGCTTGCAAAGCCTAATTTTAATGAATTTTAAAGAATGATTCATAAGAGTATAATGAAAAAGTTTTCAGACTAATAATCATATGTACTACCACGGGGCATGCATTCTCCACACGTCAATTTTTTCTTCACACCATTTTTGGAGAAAATTTATCGGCGCAATAACATAAACGAAGCTTACATGATCAAATCTATTACATCAGTCTGTCTCATGAACAGCATAACAATAAAGCTAAGGAAAGTTTTATCATTGAAAAAAACCTTATCGAAGATCGATGATCCTTGAAAACTGCACTTCCTGCACTGCTTCGTAATGATGCTAAAGATCTAGCACCAAAAGTATCTTCCACATGCCGTTCATTTCCAATTTCAGTCATATTTTTAGAAAAGAGAAGTATGCTAATATGAGTGCTTATTTCAATGTAATTACAACTACAAAATTATAGAGATAAGACAAAAGTGTTAACTTGATCAAGCAACGATCAGTAATTATCCACAGAAGTAAGCTGAAAAAAATAATTACTAGTCAGTAGAGATAGATGAATGTGGATGAATTAAATGAATGCAAGAAATAAATAATGATGAACAATTTAAATGTGCAACATTACTAAGCTTAAATTTGCACGCAACATTTGAAATGAATGAAAAAGTTTGCTGAACTTTTTTGCATAATGAAATAATATGATTATCCATGGAAGCAGTAAACTTTATCATAAGTGCTCATCGTACTCACTTTTCACTGCATATAATAGGTAATAATATCTAATTATTTATTTTGACTAACTTGAATATTAATGAACGATGTGATTGAAGTAGTAATAGTAGTAGTAGTAGCAGTGGTAGTAGCAGTAGTAGTTGTTGTTATATAGTGCCAGCAATGATAATAGCAAAAGGGCAAAGTAGCAATGTTCAAAAACAGTGATAACAGAAGAAGACTATTATTTAATTGCTCAAGTAATCCTAGTAGTATGAGAGGATTCACCGACCGTTTAGAAGTACTGCAAACTTTGAATCAGTTCAAAGTGAAAGTTTTTAACCCTTCAGCTGCTAATCATTGAAAGAAGCAGCAGAAGAGGCTATTTTACACAAATGCTTTCAGATTTCAGATCAAATAATACACAACTGTTAGCAGTAGCCGCCTCTCACATTCCTTCTTTCCAGCTTTAAGATAAAAAAGAATGAATTCTTACTCTATCTATTCTTCTTTCATGAACTGCTAAAAATACGCAATGAAATTCCAAGTTGCGTAAATTTCGGAGCAACAATTCCATCCCAAAATAATTCAAGAATTCTTTTCTAAAACTAGTCAAACACCACTGCTACAATAAATATGCCAAACTTTCATATTATTCAATATAAATTATTGCATGCTAATTGCTTGCAAATGCATAATTCATTATCATTATATGGATTATATATATACATATATATATATATATACGCATTCGCGAACTACGTATAAATAATAATATACGAGTTAAACTCAGCAAATCTATTGCAGTGCTTACTCCTCTTAATTAGCTAATTTCATACTCTTCACTGCAGGGATTCATTTACTTGATTACAAGCTAGCTGAAACAATTGAATAATATAAATGCTTCCAATAATAAATTTGAATTTTAATAAAGATATGAGTGATAAACAAAAGCAACATTTTATCGCAATATTAAAAATTGTTAAAAATTTAACAAGAAGTTTTCAGACAACCAAATATGCCTTGCATGACTTTTAGTAATTAAACTAATTAATATTAGTTAGCATCTACTTGATTACAAACTAGCTGGAAGAATTGAATGATTTAAATGCTTCCACCTCATTACATTCCGATGATTCTTTTCAGAAATTTCTGTAAACAAAAACATGAAGATTATTTTTACTGCAGATATAATTCATATCTATGAGTAAAAGATTAAAAGATATTTTATCACAAAGTTGGTGCACAGACTGCAGCAAATATTACTTGATTGACAATTTCAATTCAAAATGATATGTTAGTGAGCAACATTCTTTCTTCCACTAATAATTAGCACTGATTCACAAGTGAGAAATTATTTCAACGTTGCAAGAGCTAAGAAACTTGCAAAAAGCCACATAACTATTAAATACCTACATACATACATACACACATTCCACAACATCAACTGTTCAATCAGTTAAACATTCCTAAGCTTTACAATTTCAGCTTTTGAAAAATTTTTAAAACCAAGAACTTCTCACCCAGCTTATCTGCGCCTTTATGATAAATGCTAAATATCTGCAAATTTTCATGGTAATATTGTGAAGCACGGTGGTATTTTGATGCTAGGAAAAATGATAAATAGTAATAGGATAAGTAAGATAAGATAAAAATACGAAAAATTCGGAAGAACTAACGAATAAATTCTTTTCAGTGATAAACGAGTCTATCTATTCTGGTTTATATAAATTAGTGAACAAGTCTTTTGATAAGACAAAGTCTATTTTAATACTTAAGTATTTAGTTATAATTATAGATCTGATAAAGCACTACAATAACTTCTTCGTAAAATCCGTTATTTACAGCTTTTGACAAGTTCATAATAATGTATTTAATCAGCTACTTGTAATACAGCCTTCAAAAAGTCTTTAAATGCAAGCATAAGATTAATAATGAATGGTGCCAGACATAATTAATAAACTGTCTTGTGATCACCTGAATATTTTAAAGCAGATATTTACAATAATATCTCTAGACAAATAAGCAAATGCTTATTTAGTGCTTATAAATGATTTTAATGAGAAAAATTAATCATTAATAAATAAATTATATCTGGGAACGGATGCTATACGAATTATCACCTTCAAACCTGATGAAAAATATTCTTTTTTATTATTAATCATTAGAGTAATCTTTTTGAGTTTCTCAAAGCTTTTACCTTTTGATCATTCCATTAAATTAAATTATTTAAATATGTATAAATAGATTATTAAAAATACTGTTTCATGTTGAACGAGAAAATACATAAATACATTGAAACTAATTAGCAAATGTATTATGTAATTTATTTAATTTTCAATTTTGGTAAATGGTTTTTTTTTCATGATTTTTCGTCTTTTCAGTAATATAGCATGATGTCTGTGAAGTAATAAATAATTTTTTAATATTAAATCGAATAAAAAACTAGAAATGAAAATAATTCAAAAAATGGGGAAGTGATTTAAGATTCCTTGCATATGATGTATGGCAAATTTTTGAATCTTTGAAATAAATAAAAAGTAATCTTATCTCATAAACAAAAAAGTTTTTGTTAAATGCTTTGAAAACAATGTCATTATCGTTTCATCTCAACAACTTCTACTTGCAGTAACAAATATTCTTCTACTGATTAAATTGCTTGTTGTGTACACTTATTGCACAACCGTTTTTTAGAAATCTGAAAGTTGCACAATTTGAGAACTTACTGTTCTGTCAATTTCATCTTTTACACATAACCAATTCATAATCTTCAATCGCGTTTGGAGATCCGGTCGATTTGCTATCTCATTTCGATCAATTGCCTATAAAATTTTGCAATTTAAAAATTTAGTAATAAAAGCCTAATATATTGAATGATATGATAAGGTTAGTTTAAATTAAAAATATTACTTGAAATTATTTGCAAATATCATAGCAAGCAATTTAATTAATGAGTAGTAGTATCTTATTTCTAAAATCTGATAGTACATAGAGCTGAAATATGCAATTAATGCTCACAGGATATCAACATTACTAAATTTCTTTTTGAATATTAAACGTAAACTGTGATTAATTCTTTATTTGATTAAAGAAAATAGATAAAAATGATTCCTTTATAAATAAATACATGTAAAGTTTACAGTCTCATGGGCAAATTTTACAACTACTGTATCAATTTTGGAATAAAGAAAGAAATAAACAAAACTTTTGAAAAATTTTCATATATAACCTGACTTTTCACAGTTCCTTAAAAGATCATATTACTTAAGCATAACAAACATTACAAAAATTATATGATCTTAATAAGCTTTTTCTCTTATAATTTATTTCTTACTATTAATAAAAAAAAACACTAAAAAAATAAAAAAATAAAATTAAATTTCGGTTTCATATGGTCGAAATTAATAACATTTAAATAAATACATAAAATTGACTATTCTGATAATTTTTTTTTTTGCTAAATAAGAATAAAGCAGATTGTGATTGTTGAGAACTATATATCACTTACGTTTCAATTTCACACATGCCATTAATATCTAATCTTTTGACAGATATTTGATAACATGCAACTGTAAAACATTTTGATAAAAAAAAAAACACACACACCTAAATACTAATACACTAAATATCACTGCATAATAATGATTTTTTGATTACCAAAATTATAATAACAGTACAGAATGATAAATTCAAAGGATCAAATCATAATTACTATTCATTTAATAATACGCATAAAATTTAACATCGCTTCCCTTGATAAGGAAAATCTACAACATTTTTTGAGCAATTCTTTATACAGATTTACACATTATAAATTTGCAAGAAATAGTGAAACGTAGAATACTTCACAAGTTTGATTGTAAAATGGAATTTTTCTTTCAACACTAATTTCAAAATAAAATCAAGATTTTTTTAATAATATTGTGACGCGACACTTAAATTGATTATTACCATTTATTCTTATTGATATTAATTACTGACATGTAAAATGTTGATATTGGAGTTTCTAAGTCATAATAAGAAACTTCAAACTTCAAAGATCCTATTTTCGTCAGCGTCTAATGTTTCGTTGTGTTAAAATAATTAGACAAAGTGCCGCAAATTGGTATTAATATGCAAAGACTTGGTGACAAGCTTTATTGTAATTATTTCAATTACCTGCAAGAGAGCATCAAAAATATTGACGTTGTTAGAAACTGTAGATGAATTTCGAGCATCTGAAGTACCTACACCGTCACTACTACTTGTACCTGAATCTCGTTGATTTTCATTTCTGTAGTCCATCCAGTTGTCCACTGATGATTCCCAATTTATTATCTGGATTAATTTAAAATAAAAATCATTAATTCTAACCTTGAAATGAACTAAAAAACCAAAAATCATTTTCATATTTCAAAAAAACAAACAAATAATTGAGAATAAATGTAAAAAGACCATTAATTAAATTTAACCAAGCGTAAAAATATTCATTCATATGCAAGCCCCAATAATTAAAGCAAATTATGCAAATGAATTTTTCATAATTTCAATCTTTTTGTTGCGATACAATAATACATGTCAATATTCAAGGTCTTTTTGAAATTGCCAATTATTAGAAGAAGCAATTTATCTTTAAATTTCAATTTACTGGAACTGTGTTTGATTTTCGATGCGAATGGTACATACAAAAATCATCATGAAACTACTCTACGTGAAAGAATCAAATACTTCCAACTATTTTGATCTCAAAGTCCATTTGTCAACTAACTTAGTTAATAACTATGAGCACAAAAAGTAAAACTGATTAATATAAAGACAATGTAGTTTTAAAAAATTACCTGTATGTTACCATCAACATTGTTATTGGCCTCTCCTGAGATCGAGTTTTCAGTGCTGTTATTCATGCTTCTATTAGAGATAACGGTGGTCGTACTAGAAACGTTAGTTTCACCTTTCTCCGAAGCACCTCAAACAAATCATCATTAACATTTTGCTATTCTCCAAACCGCTTTTTTTACTTATTTCTTAATTCTACATACAAAAAAAAAAAAAAAAAAAATGCAATGAAAGAGATGTATTCATCAAGCTGTAATATAGAAATTGCCCTATTAAGCTTTTAGCCTTTAAAACCATAAAATGGTTGAAAGATTACTAAAATTAAAATATCATCAAAGCACAAATCAGTAAGTAATATTTAAGGAAATGATGAATACTAATATGAT